ATATATATATATATATATATATATATAAAGTTTTCTGAACACAATCATATGATTTATGAATTAACCTAAAAGATAGTTATGGGATTTTGCATTCAGGAAATTAGAGTTGTTACACTATAAACTTGGATTAAAGAATTAAATTGAAAAATAATAAAACTTTCATAAAAAAATTAAGGAAAAAATCAAAAATCAAAAAAATAAGAATCAAATTAGAAAAAATAGTATGTGACATATTAGAATATAAGAATTAAATTAAAAAAAATAAAAATATTTATAAAAGAGTTAAGAACAAAAAATAAAAATCAAGAAATTAAAAATTAAAGTTGAAACATTAAAAAAAATAATTAACGTACACATTTTAGGACAATATGGAGAAAATAAGCAAAACAAAAAAGAAAATACCACCAATGACAATGTACCATATATTTACTAACACGTATTATATTAAGTGAAAGAAAAATAATGAGTCTAACAATAAAATAAAAAGACAAGTTTAATTATAAAAAAATACTGTATATATTGCTCAAAATACATAAAGCCTTTTAAGTGCTAACATGTTGTCATCTTATGTTGTCATATCATATGTTAATCAATAAAATAAAAAGACAAGTTTAATTATCAAAAAATACTGTATATATTACTCAAAATACATAAAACCTTTTAAGTGCTAACATGTTGTCATCGTATGTTGTCATCATATGTTAGTAATTTTTTATTTTAATATTATTTTGTTAATTTAAAAAGATTAATTTACCTTTAATAATTTTAAAAAATAAAAAATCCTTTTTGAAAGTACAAAAAAGCTCCTTGATGCATGAACAACTTTTTGGAAGTTTGAGGGTAAATATATATTTTCATTATATACGAATAAAGGTAAAACTAAAAAACTCTAAATGTCTAGTTTTAAAAATTTTGAATTGAAGGGTAAATAAGTTATTTTATTATTTAAAAAAAAAACATAAATTACCTTTGGTGAAACACCCGGCAAAAAAAACAGCATGCCTTTATTTTTTTTTCATATAAATAAAAAGGTATTTTCAATATAGCAGTGAATAGTTTTTCCAGTCTGCATCCAGATTGTTTTTCCAATGTGAAATAGGGTTTTGTTTAATAATTAAATTAAATATTAGAATTAAATGTTTGTTAGAGAAGATAATATAATTGAACAATCTGGGAAGTTTTCCCAAAACATTCCTAACTGTCTTCTTTTTATGGAAATTCCACAACTATCCATCCATCCATCCAGACAGCCGAGACAGAAAGTGGAAAAGCGGAAAGTGAAAAGGTGAGAAGTCAAGCTAAAGAAAGCAAGTTACAAAAGAAAGGAGTGAAAGAGGGATGAAGATATAAAGTAACCATGGTAAGAAGGTGATCATCTTCCGGAAAACACGGAAGACTAACCATGGTTAAGGGAAATGAGTTTAGTTTGCTGATGATGGTAATGTTTGGCCCTTTCAGTGGATGTGTTGCTATATAAACAGAAATTCAGAAGCCGAAGAGCAGCAGCCATCTTCATCTCCATCTTCTATGAAACAATCCCTTATGACATATATAAAAGTTTTGATAATCCCATGAATATGTCATGTTTCTAGGCTGTTCGCATGTTCCTGATGCTTATATGTTTCTTTGCATAGAGACCAAGACGGGAACTTCAAAGCTTCCCTAGAGTAAGTCTCTGTCACTTATGTTTCCAGTTTGGAATTTGTTCCCTTTGTCTTCTTTATATTTTCTTTCTTGGGTCTTCTTTGAAATGTAATTTGACGTTAGAAAAATAGGAAGAGTTCTTGTATTTTTGAATTCTGTAGAAAGTGCTAGATCTCTAGGCACCCTTTCCTGCGTATTTTTTACTGGTTATTTGATTTTGTTGATTCATTTGGATTTTTTATGTTCTTGGGAGCTTCTTATTTCCCCTGTAATCGGTTTGATCTTCGATTTTTGACCAAATGGGGCATGATATCATGGTCTGAGTCAGAGGGCTAGATCTTTATTATAATTTTGCAGTGATCTATGCAGCCTATTAGCTATGATTTAGTTATATGATTTCTTGTTTTGAGTCCTTTAATTTGTAATCAGATGGTTTGCAGAAGGTTTTATTTCTCCATTGATTGAGGGAATTTGATTCTTTAAACCTATTATACAGGTCCAATCTAATCTCTCCATTAAACTAATTTGCACTTGAGCATGGTTTATACTCTATGTAAGCTTCGATTCAATCTCTCCAAAGAGGTAGCCTAGTGGCAGCCCCAAGGGGCTACCAATTGATGCAATACTAATAATGTAGATTAAAATCATCCCTTGTATTCGACAGGAAGATGGAGAATTAATTTATTGATTATCTTCTTAATGTTCTCCCGTAACACTTTCCCTACCGTGCTGTGGATTTTTTTCTGCAGGTCACTTTTGTCGGCTCCTTTTACAGGATTTTGCTACTCATCACTTCATCATAGTCAAAAACCCTGTTTATATGCCCCAAGGTATTTTGATCCATCTTTTTTTTTTTTTTATCACTTGATGTCTATCGAACCCCATTTCTTTTTGAGGCAATCTTTGGTTGTGTTTGCTTTCAAAAATAGTTCGTTTAGTTTTTCCATCTCTAGTTTTATATTTCCTATAAAATCTCCCTATAAAACTGGAAAACTTTTCTTTTGCTATAGCTTTAATTCACTTCTTAATATCATAGTTTTATCAGTTATCTGTCATCTTCTAATTTGGGTATTGTAACTCGTTTTAATGGCGTAACTGGTTTCAGATCAAGCAAAGAAGGAATCATCCGGTTTTCTCCATTTGCTTCAACTGTGATTTATATAAGCATCCCCCCATTGGCTTCCATAACTTCCATTTGAGCACACTGTGAATCAAGAGTCTCTTGTTAGCTTGAGCTTTGCGGAATCACTGCAAAAAAAAAAAAAAAAACAAGTCCCGCGAAATTTCAATGGGTCTATCAAGTCTGCCAGCTCCATCTGAAGGAGTACTATGTGTGATTTTAGTAAACACTGCCTTGTCAATTTCCATTGTCAAAGGGATAGTCCGTTCAATCCTTCACATTGTTGGCATCCGTTTGTCACCATCTGCTTCGCTCCCATCGTCAGATAATGCCGAAGACTCCAGAGAGTCGTATGAATTTCGTTCAAGTCCCCCAGAGAATTACATTGAGGAGTTCCGAAGCAGGATGCCATCAATCCGATTCAACACGGTGTGCAGCTGTAAACAGCCTGAACATGACTGCTCGGTTTGCTTGACCCAATTTGAGCCAGAATCGGAGATAAATAGTCTGTCGTGTGGTCATATCTTTCATAAAATGTGCTTGGAGAAGTGGTTGGACTATTGGAACATTACATGCCCTCTTTGCAGGACTCCTTTGCTGCCTGAAGAGGATGCATCTTGCTTTTGGTGAGCGCATACTACCATGAATGCATTGTCAGAGGAATTCTCTTTGTACAGCGTGTACATGTATATACGTGAGTGCTTCGGGCAGGGCATGGTGGTGTATACGTTGTGCTTGAGATCAAGCATGATGTGCTGATGGGTCCTTGAGAGACCAAAAATTTTATTGTACATATTGTGAAGAAGTGATGTTTAACCTATCTATCTTGCTTTGATCTCCACCCATTTTTTTTTACTTGATCTTTGCACACGTTTTTACTCTTCTTTAAGAAGGATGGAATCTAATGTATGGGCAAGCTAAACTTGAATAAAAAAATTCATCCATGGTTAGAAAGGCCATTAGCGTTAACCTGCACCGCCACCAGTGAGCATCTAAAGTAAATTAATCATCGCTTAGAACACGTTCTGGCAGATCTTATCCCAACAGCTAGGTATCAAAATAAACTGTGTCAGTGCATGAATCTTGGTTTCTAGATATAACGAGGATGCAACTGTGTGAAGCAGGCAATGCCAGATAACCAGGGCTCTTTCTACTTTTTGGAATGAAGTCAAAAACATCAATTTAGGGCCGTTTCATCTCCCAATAAAAACTGGGTCTCATCTTGTTACATCGAGCTGCTTCCCGACACTGCTCGTGCTAATGGAGAATCTGGCTGGACTTCCCTTCAGAAGAACTGCGAAGTAAGGCATGACATCAGAAGATGTGGAAGCTGGTCCTGATTCATTGCCACAGATAGCTCCACACGAAGATTCAGACAAAACAAGCTAGAAGATGCCCATCTTATCAGCATGGTGTAAGTTCCTGGTTTTGTAGATTACCTGTCTTATCTTATGTTGAGTGAAAAATAGCTAACTTCATTAATTTTGATGTAAAAAAAATGCAAGCATTTTTATTTTTTTTAAATCCAAGAAAAACTTCAATTGTGAAATGAAATATTTACTTATAAATTTAATAAAATTAATGGATAATTACATACACCAATAAATATAAAAATATTTCTTGATAGCTAAAGATTAAATCAAAAAATCAAGAAATAGATAAAAATAAATAAATATAATGTTTTGCCTCATTAAGCTATTCAATTCTTTTATTTAATTATATATCATTATTATTTTTAGAAAAAAGTAATAATTCAAATTCAATTCAAACAAAATAATTTTCTACTGCAATTTATCATCTTATTAATTTGACTTAGATTTTTTAGATCTAATGGGGAAAATATACTGCAATTTATCATCTTATTAATTTGATTTAGATTTTTTAGATATAATGGAGGAAAATATCAACTTTTTCTTCTTTTTTCAAGACTTAGACTTTGATCATAACACAAATATCTATTTAGTATAATATAATATAACTTGTGGCTTCTTTCAAACATAAAAAAAATAGGCATAAAAATAAATATAATATATGAGTAAACGAATTATTTGAAAGTAAGTCGTGATTAATGTGAATGCTTAAAATAAATACATAGTCCATATAGTTATATATACATGTAGTAATGATTCAAATTCAATTCAAACAAAATAATTTTCTACTATAATTTGTCCTTATATTAATTTGACTTGGTTGTTTGATACGCTTTATTGCTTAATCTAAGCTTTAAATTAAACCGTGTTGGAGGAGGTTTAATGTGACTCATTCAACATAGCAGGTCCAATCATAATCTAGTCGATCTAGTTGAAACTTAATTTGATTAAAAAAATCCAAGATATCATCTTTTAGTTTTTTTTTTTAAAAAAATTAGAATGATATGTTTGGATCAATTTGGATCAAATCAGGCTAAGTTACCACACTCGCCAAATAGTTCATGGATCTGTTCCTTGTTTAGCCTAAGTTTCAAATTATATCATGTTAAAGTTAACCTGATGTGATCCATTTGACCTATTAGATTCAATCGTGACCTAATCAACCTCGTTAAAACTTGATTTAATTTATAATATCTTTTTCAAGAAACAATCGTTTTAATTTTTCTAAAAAATAGTTTGAGATAACAATATTTTGGATCAACCTATGCTAACGCGTCACACAAGTCAAGGACTCAGTTAGGTTTAATAACCTTTTTATTTTGAAATATTTTTTATTTAATTATACAAGAATAAAAAACGCATGCATAAGAAAGCAATCAAATAAAATTTAAGAAGAAGATATTAAAAAATCATCATGAAAGGCAATACAAAAAGAGTGCTTGCTAATATTAAAAAAAAATGTGTTATAATCTTATTAAAAAAATTAAAGATTGAATAATATTTTATTAAATAATTTCTAAAATACAATGTTAGTTAATTATTTTAATTATTCTTCTATTAAAATTGAAGACCTACCAGGTTAAGGCCTTATCAAGCTCCATTTTAAAATTAAATTAAATTGGAGTTGATCTTATGCGAATTGATTGTCTTAGTAAGTTCAAACGCAACTCAATCAAGTTGCACAAAACTTGGTTGGTTTTAAAAAATAAAAATATTTTGAGACAAGATTCTAGTATCTTATTTTTTAAAAAATATTAAGATGACCACGTTTTTTTTTTCTATAAAAAAGAAGTGAACCTAATTAACACATGAAACTTGTGACTTAAATCATAGACTTAATTAAGTTTAATATTTTTTTAGAATATATTTTTCATTGAATTATATGATAAAAAAAATATCAACAAGAAAGCGACCAAATAAAATTTAAAGATAAACAAGAAAAACATAGTTAAGGGCTATATAAAAAAGTGTTTTTTAATATTATAAAACAAATGCTAGTATTATTTGAAATAATTTTTAATAAATTTATTTTAATGTGTTTAAATTTCAATTAAATAATAAAAAGAGATCGCATAACAAGAATTGAGTGAATGCCACTTGGCCCATTAAAAAAAGTCACTTATACAGTTCTTTAAGGTGATGTATATGCACCTGATTTTATTTATTTATTTATTTTTTTCTCATACATGTCATCTATCTTTTCTAAATAAAAAAATATATGATGCATCATTTGATTGTTCAGTTCTCAACTGTCATAGAGATGGTAAAAAATTAGGACTAGGGTTTTTTGACTTAAAAACTATTTTCAACCTACTTCTATCTAATAAACACACTTATAATATAATCTTTATAAATAAATCTCTCAACTTAAAACAACTTTAAATTGATTCAAAAATATAAAATCACAATAGATTAAAAAAAATATTTCTCAACCATAATCCATGTTTTATATCAAGACAAAGGGTAAAAAAATATCTCGATAAAATTGCTCTCGTCAAGTAAATTTTGTTGACACTAAAAATATCTTTATTTTTATTGGAATATAATCAACTAATAATTTTTTTTCTTTTTCACGGTATTTCACATGGTTCTCTCTTCATGAAATTTAGAAAATGAGTACAATGAATCTATGAATCAAAACTAAAATTTAAAAAACTACAAGGATCTAAAACAAATTCAACACTAAATATAAAAAGTAGATATAACTTTTCCATTTGAATTCTAGATGGACCATCCTGATTTTTTTTCTTTTTCAATTTAATTCGTATTCTCTTAGTTATGTCTTATACTATAAATTAAACAATATTTCATTAAATTAATCCAAAATAAAGCTAAAAAGTTTTATCAAAACCTTCACATCTAAATTGTAGAAAAATAATCATTGTGGAATAGGAAACCTAAGTAAAACAAAAATAACAAAAGAAGCTCACAAGTACCAAAAAAAAAAAGTGAAAATATTTTATTCTTGTTCTGTTTGCTCGTGCATCTAAGTTAAAATTTTCTCTCATAATAATAATAAAAAATATAAAAATATAGATAATATCTTAATATGAGGAAAAAATATTTGTGCATGTCAAATTATGAAAAATGTCTAGAAATACACTTTTTATTTTATCATTTTTCTCTGAATGATAAACAATATATTATGAATATATATTTTTAGTTTTCCAAGTTAAAAAAATATTCTGAAATTTTAAAAAATGAACATGAAAAAGAAATACTAGAAAGGAAGAAGTAAACTGAAAAATGGAAAAGAAAAATTGTTTTTTCAGTCCCAAACCTATATATTAATTCCCTGTATATCCCATACTTATTAATTTTATCAATTAGCTCCTAAAAGTTTCCTCATTTCTCAAATTGTGTTTTTTTGTTAATTTATTTTAATATTTCAAGTCTAATTTATCATTTATGAACTTGAAACTAAATAATTTTTTTTAAATAAACAATAATATTAAAGAACATCAACATCAAGACTTGATTTGGAATTGTTTTAAAACGTTTGAGATCTAATTTATAAAATTTATAGATTTAAAAATAAATTGAGATTTTTCCTTCTTTTAATCTCATATTAGGCATTCAGGTGAAAATAAAATTAATTTGTTGAATATGTTTTTATGCAATGAGGTATAGAAACAAACCCAAATCCTTTAAAAGCCCATATCTTAAAAAGCAAACCCAAGCCCAGAAGCAATTCCGACCCTAAAACATAAAATGACAAGTCGCTCGTCTCGTGATTTCGCAGCACCATCGAAAAATAACTTGAAATAAAAGGAGTAATGCTTTGAAATAAAACTCGCAAATAGAATAATAAAAATTTTGAATTGAATTTCCAGTATTATCGTTATGTAAATTAAACATATAAAAAAGCCAAAACTGAAGGGAAATTTATTGTATATCTATACATATTTTACTATTCACAACAGTAGTAATTAGTTATTATTAGATGTTTCAAGTTATTTTTCGATGGTGAATTTTTCTTTGGATAGTAATTAATCAGAAATAGAATTATTTTTTTATTTTTAAAAGCACAGTAAAATTATTAATTTATATTTATAAGCAAAATTTTTGAAACTAGAATGATTATTAATTTATATTTATAAGCAAAATTTCTGAAAGAGATTTTTTCATCTTTTTATAATAAAATAACTCAATTATTTTTAAAAATAAAACTTTTAAAGCTTGTGACTAAGGATTTTTTTATCCTTTCAATTTGTTTTTTTATTAACCTAGTCGATGATAATTTAATCTTTTAATAAATATAAAATATTATTAAAATAGAAAAGGATATGCAGACAACATGTAAGAGGCATTCATAATTTTTTGACAGTATTTGTTATCCTTTTTAGTTGTCAAAAATACCTTTTTATAATATTATTGAAATCATTATGGTGTCTTTTTCTTGGTGGAATGGTGCATGACTCCAACAACGAAATGAATTGTTGCGAATGAGATTTTTTTTTCTATCTTTTCT